CACAGCAGCATTCCTGCCACCACAGGATTTCTCCCAGCATTTTTCCTTCCCTGGTTTCAGGGTGAAGTTGGCACCTCCTTGCTCTTTTCAGTTACCTGTGAAAGCAATGCTTAAGTAATCCAAACTCATTGTGAGCCAGAGACATTTCTGAAAAAAAACAAGTGGGGTTTAACCAGATCCAGCACTTACAGATGGGAAGTCATGGTAGGTGAGAAAAAACAGATCACAGGCATGGTGTGCATTCACTTGGGGAGACAGCTCCCAAAATCATCTCTGAAGCCTGCTTTAGTATTTCATCCTAGTTAGTTCACATATTCATTAGTTCATTAATCCATATGACCCAGAAGTTAGCTCTTAACCTCTGTTCTGTGATGTTTCACATGACTGCTTTAATGCATCCATCACAGCAACATGAAATCATCTTTCTCCCACTTTGCTCTAGCAAACTGCACAACCTTCTTCACATCCTGAACATCTTTATCTAATCAAGGCATATTCTGCTTTAAATTTCTGCTGATAACTAGAAAAAGGAAGCTGAACAGTAACGTTGCTTTGGCTGCAGCTGTAGCTAAGGAAGTTGTAGAGTGCAGTCACCAGCCTTGACTGCACACTGATGATTACATAAACCCACAGTTTCTCCACTATGACAATGCACACAAGGGAAGAACAGACCTCGTGTTTTCAGTTTCACATGGCCCAAACCTGACCTTGTTATGCACCATTCCCCCACAGGCTGCGCAGGTCTGGTTATCCAACCAAATCAAGGATGCTCAAGTGTTCTGACCCTGTTTGATCCTCCTGGTGGGAGACAAAGCTATTTCTGTGGTGCTGCACAGCTCAATGCCCCCAGCCCCACCAGTGTGCCACAGAGCTCCCCAGGGATCCTGGGGTAGGAAGGGAGAGCTTGAGCACAGCTTTCCTCAGTCAGCTGACACACAAGATGCCTGCAGATCGCTGCTCTTGTGTGATGGAGGACAGCTCCCAGGAGCAAGGCAAAGCCTTTGCTGACTGAGGGGCTCACACTGTTTCTCCCTGCAACTCTGGATGCACACAAAGCTGTTTTCCATCTGGATTGCTTTTGCTTTGGGGAAAAGAGAAGCAGAAATTAGAATAGAACCACAGAATATCCTAAGTTGGAAGGTACCCACAAGGGTCCAGCTCCTGGCCCTGCACAGGACACCCCAAGAGTCACACCGTGTGTCTGAGATGCTACACAAATTGAGTGAGTGAGTAACAGAGCAGGTCCCAGACTTTGGACAGGAAATTCTGCAGGTCATTAACATAAGGAGAAGTGGGCCTTTATGTGCTGTTAGATAGCAAGGAGTTAACTAGAAAAAGAGAATTACAGCATTTGTGCAATGTGGTATGTCAGGGTTTTCAGAGACAAGTGCAAGACTAGAAGGAAAAAAAGTAAAGACATTGAAGGAATGAGCTGTTAGGTTGAGCAGATCATTAAAGGCAGCAAAAACTTTCAGAAAGAAAACACACCAGGAAAACAAACATATTAAAACAGTTATTTTAGTAAGTGATGTTAGTTTAGATTTAAAAAATACAGTCTGGACTTTGAAGATGAAAAGTTCTGAACACAGTAGTATTTTGAATAAGCAAAGAAAGCAATACTGCATTTTTTTTTTTTTTTTTGCTTCTGTCAGTGAAGAAGGTGACATAGAAACATTTGGTCAGCACATCTGAAGTGGTGCATCGGTATGCAGTCAGTATGGACTGAAGAAACCTCCTGGACCTTTCATCAATCACCAAAACAGTGGCCAGTGACTTAGACAGGAGGGTTTACTAACAAAACCTGTAATTTAACGAACTTCTCAGTTAAGTATGGCTAAAAATCTGAATGAAAGGTGATTACAAGAAATTTCCTGAAACTTAGCTACTAACCCAGGTATTATTTGGAGATTATGATCTACAAGTACACTGCCAGGTCCATTAATTGTGGGCATTTGTCAGACTATACAAGAACTCTCGATGAAAGTTTTTGCTATGGAGTTGCTCATTAGTATTAATAAATTTAATAATTAGTAATTAATTAATTAGTTAATGAGTATATAAAACTGGAAGAAAAAATTTCTCTAAGTGATTTCAGATGAAGGAAGCTACCGAACAAAGTTGTTTAGGTATTGTAGCAAGGTCTTCGTTAAGAGGATTTCTTAGGGAATGCAAAGTGCAATCCAAAATACAGATTCAAAGTTTTGGAGGAGCCCTAATGCTTCACACATTTTGTGTTCTCTTTTAGTAACAGCCTAATACAGGAAGGATTCGAGCTGGTGCATCAGATCAGTTACTTAGAAAGAATAAATACTATTTTGAATTATCATCTCTAAATCTTGTAGTAAATTCTGATGATCCTAATTTTGTAGACCACTGCCTGTTGTAACTGAGAGCTCTGTAGGTGTGATACCTGTTTTGGTAATTGTGGGATGATATTGGAATAGGTTTTCAGGTTCACTTCAGGGAATCACAGAATCAATTAGGTTGGAAAAGACCTCCAAAACCGTTGAGTCCAACCTATGACTGATCATCACCTTGTCAAACAGATCATTGTACTCAGTGCCACATCCAGGCTTTCCTTGAACACCCACAGGGACAGTGATTCACCACCTCTTTGGGCAGCCCATTCCAATCACCCTTTATAATGAAGAAATTCCTACCAATGTCCAATCTAAACCTCTCCTGGTGCACCTTGAGGCCATATCCTTTCATCCTGTAGCTGGTTAGCCAGGAGCAGAGTCCGACCCCAACCTGGCTACACCCTCCTGTCAGGGAGTTGTACAGAGTGATCAAGTCAGGCCGAGCCTCCTTTTCTCCGGGATGAACAATCCCAACGCCTTCAGCTGCTCCTCACAGGACTTGTCCTTCAGACCCTTTCCCAGTTCTGTTGCCCTTCTTTGGACAACAACATCCTTTCACCCCGTGAAAATATCCATCTGTCCATACGGGCGGATCGGGCTGTTAACAAAACACTTCGGTACCAAACCGCTCAACCTGTGCTTTTCACCTGACACTGCCGTACCACCGGCACCACAGAAACGCCGGAGCCTGAGGGAGCCTGAGGGAGCCTGAGGGAGCCTGAGGGAGCCTGAGGGAGCCTGAGGGAGCCTGAGGGAGTGAGGGGCGGGAGTTTCCCGCGCTGGGGCAGGGCTGAGGTGTGGCGGTGAGGGGCCGTGCCCGCCCCTGGCGCCGCGCGGAGCACGCCGGGAGCGCGGGCCTTGGCCGCGGCCCCTGCCCGCCCTCAGCCTGATCCCGCCGCGGCGGCCGCCGCTGCCCGCCCGTCCCCGCCCATCCGGCTCCCCTCGCCTGGGGAAGGGCGCGGGGGGCGCTCCGTTAGGGCGGTACCGCCGTGTCCCCCCGGGCGGGGAAGGGAGGGACGGCCCGTCCGCAGCGCGCGTCACGTGACGGCGGCGACAGCGACGGTGACAGCGCTGGGACCGCGGCAGGGCCGCCACCGCCATGGGCAGTGAGTGCCGACAGAGGCGGGAGGGAGCGGGCCGGGACCCGGGGTAGGGGACAGCGGCCCCGGGCAGCGCGGGGCGGACGTGGCCGGTGGCCCGTGGCCGCTGATGGGGCGCCGTGCCCCGGGTACCGCGGCTGGCAGGGCCGGGGGTACCGAGCACCCGCTCCCCGCAAAGGGTCGGTGCTGCCGGGCACAGCGTGAGGCCGGGCTCTGCTTCGTGGTGAGGCGTCCTGTTCCACTCTAACCCTTATATATATATCTGTGTGTACACTGTATGCACTCTATATACGTATGTACCGTATATACACGTACATATGTGTGCATATGTGTCTAAAGGGCGGGTGTAAGGAGGATGGACCAAGCTCTGCTCAGTGATGCCACCCAGTAGGACAAGAGGCAATGGGCAGAAACTGATGCCCAGGAAGTTCCACCTGAACATGAGGAAGAACTTCTGTCCTGGGCAGTGGCCAAGCACAGGAACAGATTGTCCAGAGAGGCTGTGGAGTCTCCCTCATTGGAGATATTCCAGAAGTGTCTGGACACAGCCCTGTGCTGTGTGCTCTGGGATGGCCCTGCTTGAGCAGGGAGGTCAGAGCAGATGAGCCCTATGGTCCCTTCCAACCTGACCCATTCCTTGATGCTCTAATATCTTGTTCATGGCGGAGCTGTGCCACCCTCTGTGGAGTGAGGTGCATCTTCCAGCGGCCTGTGTGAGGGCTTGGGATCAATAGAGGAGACATGTGTCATATCAGAGTGTAAATGTAAACTACATTTACACGTATGGCACTACAACCAAAATGTTACTTACAGTGTAATAAATACATTCTCTTTGAAAAGGAGCCAATAGTGTTTTTTATGTCTGTCCCAGTGTGTTGGTGCTGAAAATAATGTTCAAGTTTTGGAGGCAAATTCCCCACGAAGCACATAACCTTTGCTTTTTTTTTTTTTCCAAATTGATTTCATTTTTTTCCCCAGAAAAAGAGCTCAAACTGTTGAGCTTTCCTGTGTTTTTAAAGGAGAAACTGTGAAGAGAGATGTATTCAGAGCTAAAGTAAAATCTCCTGAAGTTCCAATCAGAATAAGTATTCCACTCATTTAAATTACAATTTCTTAAGCACATTTTAGCGCTTGAATTATTTTTTCAGCCAAATACTTCAGTAAACACAAGAGTCTAATCTCTGCATGGATACCTTTTGATGTCAGTATCGTTCTGTGTTTAACTAGCACAGACTGATACTAGGTCATTTATTTTTAGATGGAATACAATTCGGTTCACTTCTGGTGATACATACAGCACCACTTCTCTAAAATTATTCCAGTTGTAGAAAAAAGAATGGGCCAAATCTGGTTAGAACAAGAATTCTGTTTCACATTTTTGCCCTGATTTCAGCTGTTTTAAGAAGAGGGTATTAGTTTTTAGATAATTTTGGAAGCTAAAGTTCTTTGACGTTTCATAAATTCATAAATGTTTATTAATACATTTTTTTGTCTTCTTTTTTTTTTTGTGTGTGTGTGTTTGTTTTTCTGGAACAGTAAAATTTTTAGAAGTTATTAAGCCGTTCTGTGCAGTGTTACCTGAAATCCAGAAACCAGAAAGAAAAGTGAGTGCCACATTATGTTCTTACTTTTATGAGTTCACAGGGGAGGGAATATTGTGATATTCTAGTCTATATCCTATATAGATACAGAAGGTGGGCTTTAAAGTAGAACACATTCTTTGGAGCAGGGGGGAACCAATGTTAAAGTAAAACATTACATGATGATGAATTCTGAGCACCCTTCTGGTAAGTTGTTCCTTTCAGTAATTATGCTAAATAATAATAATAATAAAATCTTTTAATATACTAGAACAGTCTTCAAACTTTGTTTTCCTGTGGATCCCACTGTTGGCTTTGAGCTGGCTTGTATATTACTTGGAAAAGGATTATTCTGTAGATCAGGAAACACAAATTTAATTCTCTCCTTGCCACAGAGTAGGGTCTACACCCATAGCTGTGATTGACCTTGCTGAAGTGGGAAAGTGATCTGTGGTACAGTTCAGGTAATTGCCCTGTTCACCTTCTGGATAAAATGTTTCCCTTTGATCTGAAATCAATGAACTCAGTTCATTTACAGCTGATCTCTCTAGTCCTCTAGCCCTTTAAACTCCTCTCATTTCTTGGCATATTTTCTAGATTAAAATTAGGTAATTTCTACAGATCAGAAAGAGACCTTCCTTGTCCAAGAAAACCCCCCACCAAACACCATTTTTGCTTTCAAAGCTCAAGCACATATTGCCCACGTGACCATCTAATTAAAGTAACAAATTGACTTGTCATGACTTCGTGAAAATTCCTTAAGAGCTAAATATTGGTTTTTATATTCTAAAAGGGAAAGCTTAACTGGGAACATCACACCATCTCAGAGAATCCTCTTTGGCTAGTGAGAGGTTCCCCAAGGTTGGTACTGGATGCAGAGGTGTTTGTGCCAGTGACCATATCTGAGCCTGCTGAATTGAATGGAGAAGATACAGTAAAAAATTATGTTGATGGCCCTCTGGAATTGATTCTTTAAAAAGACTGGGATTTACCCCTTGACTCTTTGCTAGTTGGTTTCCAGCATCTTTCAGCTTTGGGACGGGTTTCTAAACAAATTATTTAGGCCAGAGAAAGGCATTTTCAGAGCAGGAATCTCCAGAACCAGACCTCCATGCTAAAGCTTGGATGCACCAGGTCTAGTTGGCAGGTGCCCATCTTTGTTTCTGCAGTGGGGAACCTTGGTGCAGTCTTTTGGTGCTGATTTATGGCACATCTGTGATTAGTTGGTTACAGCCGTCCCGTTTTTGTCTTGTGAGATGAATGAGAAGAGAAAGCTGACACAAACGTACAGATACTGATGTTTCCATAAAGCTCACTGGCAGATGTTATTTGCCAGAGAGGAAGAGGAGCTTGTTCTGTCCTTGTTGTCCATCAGCAGATGAAGGATCTCCAGAGAGGTGCCAGGATTCCTGTCCTGTCTATTTGGGTCACTTTGTCTTTACTGCTATTTAGGTCGGTGTCTAGACAATGGCTGCCAGTTGCCAGCTTTGTACAAATTTAAAGTGAAAATGTAATTGGGAACATCTTTGCTAGGCTGAAGAGCCCTTTGACCATTTTTAGTCACGTTCCTTGCTTCTGTGTAGTTTATCAAGTGATTTAGGTCATTCTATGTAACTCTAATTCTCTGTAATTTGTTGTTTTCTTGCAAGCTGTCACGGTTAGATACGACCAGTAATGGCTTTAGTGGATTTGTTTAAGGGCAGGACAAGAAATTTAGATAACCAAAAAGAAAAAGACATTCATTCTTATTAAACATGTATTGATTGTTAAGTGAAGATGATGTTTTGATTCATTTGGGCTTTCACTGAATCATTTTGCCATTCTTGTGGATGAGGAGAGTGGTTTCTTCTGTCTCTAGGGAGTGTTGCTTTTGTGTTTTGGCCAACTTGATTAGCAAAAGTGATTGCTACTTTTGTAGTTAGTAGAATGGGCTCATATTTCCCTCATGCACAGATTTGCTAAGTAGAACACACTGTTCAGAACACCAAGATGATAATGCTCAAGTCCCTTCATTTTCACATGATTTAAGAAAAATGTCAAAGGAAGAAAATGTCCGATTGAATCAGATCAGATCATGAAATTCACTCTCCCTGTGCTTGTTAGCATTTGTGGCTGGAATATTTTGGTACCACTCATTCCTGACATATGGATTTGAATGACTCCTTTTTCCTTTTAGTCTTCTTGACTCATAGAAACTGTTTTCCTTGTGAATAACTGTGATTTGGGTGATGCAGAATTCCTCTAATGCTCCTATTCACCACAGTTACAGAGAGAACCAGAGCAGTTTTAGACCTTTACCAATGCCTCTGAGGCCAAGTTTAACTGTGAGGCTGTAGAGAAAATTTGGTTAAGCATTTTTGGTTTTGGAAGTCTGTGTTTAAAATCTGAATTGTGCAGTTCAGACTTGGTAAAGTGGGTCAGCACTGCATAGTCCAACACAAGGTATTGTTTGAATTTATTTGCTGCTGTCACTATTTTTCTTTTTATAACTGTGCTGTAAGTATTTTTAGCATCTGTCCTCTTTTTTAAGAGTGAAGCAGTAGCAGGAAATAAATTAAATTACTTGGATTATTTTGCTTTTAAGTGGATGGTTTCACTTACAAAGATGTAGACTACATTCTGTGTTTTCTTTTGCTTGAGGACCTGTGCTGCTGCTGCACTGGTCTGTAGTTTCTCGTTTGTGGGTGTTCAGTACCTATTAAACCAGGCACTAATCCTTTTTCTTGTTACTTCTCCACAGGCAGATTCAGTGGTTGGAGGCAGAGAGCTCCAACCATTTCTGCTGTATCTCTCTTACGTTTTAGTTCATGTCATGTTTTAGTAGCTGCCCTACACTTGTCTGCAATGAACACACTTAACCCTCAGGTTTACAGTCCCTGGAGGAGAGGTGGGAACTTGAACATAACCGTGCATTTCAGCTCTCTCTGCTCTCTTCAAGTGCATTCCTTTCTGTCTCATGCTTTGAGTAATCCTCTGGCTCAAACTTAAATCTTGTGATTCTTCTCTTCTTGCACCTGGCACTAATTACAGACACTTAAAATGTTGTGACTCTGAGATTCTCTTCAATGAATGACTAGTGATCATTGGTCTGGCATTCTTTTTCAAGTAATATATAATCTACATCAATAAAAATACTTTGGAGGAAAACAAAGAATATTTGAAGACCATTTTGTGGTGTATGTCCATGAGCATAATGATGAATTTGAAGCTTCCTCTAACACCCTTTGAAGAACTTAATTCTAAATTTTTTGAATTGCCGTAGAAAATTCATGGTTCATCTGGTTTTAATCATGTGTCTTCACAACAGTTCAATCTCTCTAAAAATTTTGTAGTGCTTTAGTTTAATAACTCTCAGTCTTACAAAACTTCTATTGAAGCCTAGAGCACTAAGTACTGGAGATAAGTTTTTTGAATTAATCTTTCATGTTTGCTCTGGTAAGTCCATGGTTTTAGCCATGCTGTTGCTCTTCTGTAAATACCCACTGCATTAGAATATTGTAGATAAAATATATTCTAGTGACTGAATGTCTGCCAGTCCCACATGAGTTATCTTTATCACTCTAAAATCTGAAATCATATTAAAAATAAATTCCAATGAGGGGCGATACTTTCTGGTTCTATATCTTTGCATTGAATTCTGAATTATAACAGCATTTAGTACTGTTGTGGGAGTGCAGTGGAAGTTCTACATACAATGAACATGTTTGTGTCTCCACTCTGCCCTGTAGATCCAGTTCAGAGAGAAGGTACTATGGACAGCTATCACACTCTTCATTTTCTTAGTGTGCTGCCAGGTAGGTATTGATGTTGTCTGTGGTAGAAAATGTGTGTTCTGTACATAAAAAGTACCCTGAAAGCATGAGACGTTCTTGTTTCATGTTGACCTACCAGTTTCAGCTTTTATTTTTATGTTAAAGTATTTAAAGTTCAGTTCAAAAAACCTGGTTCTCTGAAACAGTCTTTAGTGTTGATCATAGATGTTTTTAGAATCTAGTGCTTTATATTTAGTCAGAAATACATAACATTTTTTTTCTTGTTACAAAGATCCTATCAAATGATGGTAGTGGCTGCAGGGTAAACAGCCAAGGTAATTAATTATTGAGCAGCATAAACAAACCGAGCAGTTCACTGCATTGTTTACCCGCTGTTCATAGCTGCTTTTAAATTTTAGTACTCACAAGTGTGAAAACTAAATCAAAGTGACTTTTTACAAAATTCCTCTTCAGTAAGCTGATGGATTGTAAAGATTGCAGGAAGATGTTTTTGTAAAGTGTTTAAGTTGATATTTAGAACTTGTTTTTTGTGAAGATCCTGGTAAAGTTGTTAGCTGAAACCTTTCCAAAATGCCTGTCTTTGTAAACATTTATGTGATCTTTATTACTCATAGTTGTAGGCTTGGCTTGTAAACAGTGGAGGCTTTTTTTGGTTTTCTATAAAGAATACCTAGATACTGAAGAAAATGAGAATCCATGTATTACTTATAAATATGTATAATCCATGTATTACTGTATAAATTTTTTAGAACTTATAGACCTCTTGGAAGATTCAAAATTAACTGTACATTTCAGAATCAGGGTTTTTATCTTATGTTTATTAATGCAGCCATTCCAGACTGCAGAGCAGTAGTTTAATAGTTTTTGTTTTCAGCTCTGAAGGACTGTTTAAAGGCTAAAACCCAGCTCTTGTACCTATCTGTTTTTTGGAAGGAGGAAGTGGGAATGATACTAGAGCTAGAAGAACATGTCATTTATCTGGGTTTACTAGCAGCTGGATGTATGCATGATTAAAATTTTGCATCTATATGAGAGATTATATAGTAGTTGAATAAGGAAAACAGATGGTGCAGACCAGAGTTTTCAGAAATTGATCTCTAAGATTGCCTGGATTCCTACTCTACTGTTTTGATGATTAGGAAGAGTTTTAAAGAGCTCAAAATACCTCAATATTGACATACAATATTGAAAGTTTTGTATGAACATGTCTGGTATTGACAGTTCCATGTGGGATATTTCAAAACATATTTCTGTGTCTAGAATTTTGGTATTTTAACTTCTTCTTTCTAGGGGTTTCTGCGTTTTCCTGTGGAAAGGTCTTAGTTTAGTCCTCTGAGTTGTGCCTCAGCTGGAGGATTAAAAGAGATTGTGTCAAGACTTCTGGTTTATTTTTTTTAAATTGAAACAATGTAACAGTTGAATCATTACATGTTAATATTTTGTATTAATGCATGCTAATTGTGTGTATCTGTTTAATGCTGTTGTGCACTTTGACAGATCCCTTTGTTTGGAATCATGTCATCAGATTCTGCAGACCCCTTCTATTGGATGCGAGTCATTCTTGCATCAAACAGAGGTTGGTACTCACTCTTTTCTCTTTTTCTCTTTTCTATTGGGATAAACACACCAGGAGAAAAACAGTTGGCTGTTAAATTCCACACCACCTAGATGTCAGGTTGGAACACTTTGTAAAGTTCTTAACAGAGATGGAATTAAAATCGGTACTTGAGCAGTGCTTCATGTTAGGAATGAGATTTCTCTGAGATGCAGATGAGATTAATATTGATTCACAAGTTTTGGGATGATCCCATTCAGGATTTTAGAGCAGTCTCTTTCTAACTAATATATGGGATATGGAATCTTCTGACTTTCCAGTTAGGAGCCGCATTAATGTGCAGTACGAGGGTGTTGATTAGGAAATGCCTCACCTGTGCAAGTCAGTTACACTTGGTAATAGTTTGGCAGTGTTATGGGTGAGTAATTTTCTAGGTGGGAGAGCTAAAGGCAGAGATAATTAAGCATAAACTGTAGCAAAATCAAACTAACGTATTTTTGAAGAGTAAAGTGGAACACAACCAAATGTATAAGATTCAAACTAATGCTAGAAGTCTGAAACTTAAGATGGGTGACCAGTCATGCTTGACTCTAAATGAGGACACTGATCTCATCTGTAGCTTGGAAAACTGGCTGGAAGTAAGAAAATCACTGGAACCCTCTAATGTGAAGGTACTGCTTACTTAGGATTAGTAGATTTTATTACACCAGTGAGGATAATAAGGTAAAGAAGTTCTCTGCTTCAAATTCTCCTACAGAGTTAGCAGAGTTTGGTGTGTCCCTAGCAGTGTATGATACGAAATACTCTGTCCACTACCCAAATAGAATGGTAACAGTGGCCAAGAAAAGGCTAGAGAGATTGAAAGCAATAAAAAGCGAGAGTGGGAAAGTGAGTTTTCACTTAAGTCAACTGCCTGGAAGTCATTGGAGAATGTGAGGTGAATGCTAAAGTTTTTGACATCCTAATTTCTGGCTGCTGGAGGAGTAGAGATTTCCATGGCAGGTGATGTAATATTTAACTTGGAAACTCCAGGATACATGTATGAAAGAACCAATTTATAATAATAACTTTAATGCTTTCCCTCTTTGAATTGTGTACATTTGGGAGTTGGTACCTCAGTGACACAGTGCCACTGAGTTGGCAGAGTTAAGAGCAGCTTAATGACGGTCTTTGTTTTGTTAAGAACTAACTTAATCCTAAACTCTCAACCAGAGCCAGTGATTCCAAGGGCAATGTTCTCAGAAACTGGATCTGCAGCATGTTTTTGTGGTCTGCAAAACTAAACTTTTGGAAAACGTGACATTGAAGCACCAACAGACTAAACAACCAGGGACAAGATGCTGTCCAGGCAAAGGTTTCTTGAGGATATGCCAAAAAATCTGAGCTTCAGTGTGCATTGGCCTTCAGTGCTAGCATGGTTCCACAAAAATATTTGTAATTAAAAGCTACATGGCTTTCCCATGCTGCCTTCAAAAGTACAGGTTTTAACACAGCAGCCTTTTGTGAGGCCATAACTGTCTTTGTTTTGTCATACCTCTACAGGAATATACATATTGGAAGCATTATTAGAAATATTCCTTATAGGTCAAGAACCTTTGAAGAGACCTAATGCTTTCTTTAGGAGAGGTGCTGGAATGGCAGTTGTGTTAATTTTTCTTCTTTTCTAGGTACTTTGATGGAATTGGGTATCTCACCCATTGTGACATCAGGTTTGATCATGCAGCTGCTGGCAGGAGCAAAGATCATTGAAGTTGGTGATACTCCAAAAGACAGAGCCTTGTTCAATGGAGCTCAGAAATGTAAGCACTGTTCCAATTAAAATTACTGAGTGTATTTTTATTCTTGGGAAAGCAGCCTGCCTAAGTGATACTAGATATGAGATTTCTTTGGTAGGTGACTTCAGATTTTTTTAAAAGGATTTTCTTTCTCTCTTTTTTTAGTATTTGGGATGATAATTACCATTGGGCAAGCCATTGTGTATGTTATGACTGGAATGTATGGAGATCCTGCTGAAATGGGTGCTGGAATTTGTCTTCTTATTATAATTCAGGTTTGTAAAGAGCTATTTTGCGTGTAACTGAGACTGGTTAGAGACAGTATAACTGGAAGGAAAAATCTTTATATGTCTGGGTTCAGCTTATTTATTTTTAATGCTGCAAAGCATCATTATTTGTATCTGTCTAGATATGAGAAATTCTAAATACTCCATAAAGGAGGAGAATGCTGGGATAGTTAATATCAAAAGTATTTCAGGTAGGAGTGGTGCTTAATTCAAGATACAGGAATTGGTGGACTTTGGAAACAGTAGCTGCTCTTCAGTGCTGTGGAGGAATTCTCACTAAAGCTGCAGCTTTGAGACATTCTTCTGCAGAACAAAACAGTAAATGCACAAACTTAAACATTTCTTCTAGAAAAAAGTTGTTACTGAGTAATGTTTGCTGTGTCTGCCTTGAAAAAAGGCACAGAGCTCATTGCCATGTGAGATGTGCAGGCCTTGGTATGTGAGAGGTCAGAAACACTGCATGAATGACATTTAGATGAAAGACTTAATGATTACTCTCCAACATGATGAAAATATTGAAGCAGAGAATTAAAACACAACTCATGACTTGATTTATTCTTGTTTCTGCTCAGTTTTGTTTCTTTTCTCACAGCTGTTTGTGGCTGGTTTGATTGTGTTGCTGCTAGATGAGTTGTTACAGAAAGGTTATGGATTGGGCTCTGGTATTTCCCTGTTTATTGCTACCAATATCTGTGAAACCATTGTCTGGAAAGCTTTCAGTCCTACTACCATCAACACTGGCAGAGGTATGTGTGCAGTTACAATCAGTCACAACATGTTTCAGTTATGTGTATATTACACATAACTATCAGATGTTTATTGGATGGCATTTAAAAAAAAGTTCATATGTCTGGTGATTGGCTTCTGAAGTCAATTGTCCAATTAACATCGAAGATGAAAATGTCTGATTTACATGGAGATTAGTACAAGTTTGCCTTTGCTGATTTGAAGTGCAGCAGTTAAAATGGGACTTCAGGCCCCTTGAAGGAAAATTTTTGGATTTCCAAACTGAAATCGTCTTGTTTTAGCATCACTTAGAGAAGATAGGAAATGCTGTACATGCTGTTTGTGATCCAGCTGTTGTTTGTGGCTATAGGATGCTTTTGTAGTTGGTGCCTCTGAATTACTTTAAGCTGGTTTGATTCTGCAGAGGCTGCAGTCTCTTCATTCCTCAGCCAGTCTTTGACAACAGCTGGTTGTTCTGAGGCCCCTGAATTAGCACCTTAAGATACAGCATCAAGAAATTAATTCATTTACTGCATTCATTTGAAATGTTGAGCCATGTTTTTAGTTTGCTTTCATTTGAATTTAATTCTTAGTAGTTCTGTTATTTCCAAAAGAAAGGTACTTTTTAAAAAATGTTTTTAATTTGGTGATTAACCTTCCTTTCACTTTCTTGCTTCATGCAGGAACAGAGTTTGAGGGTGCTGTGATTGCATTATTCCATCTCCTGGCCACACGAACCGACAAAGTCCGGGCTTTGCGGGAGGCTTTTTACCGACAGAATCTGCCCAATCTCATGAACCTGATTGCTACAGTGTTTGTGTTTGCTGTAGTCATCTATTTCCAGGTAAAACTCCTCAGAGCAGCTCTGCAGGGGCAGAAGGGCACGTGGACCCTGGACACTGCAGTCATTGGGAAAAGATGGGAAGGTTTAAGCCAGAGTAGCTGAAGTATCTTAGCTTTGAGTAACGAACTCTTTTTATCCCAGTGTTATTTCGGTAACTGTTACTTCTGACTTCTGTGACAGTACAGTCATAAAATTGTGCAGCCAGGCCTACTTGTACTCAGTGTGGAACCTCACATTCCATTCAATGCCATACACATTGTGAGAATATTTTCGATAAAACAGATTCCAGTACTGCAGTGGTTGCATCACACCAATAACATTCTTAATATTCATCATTGGCTGAAAAGAATACTTTTGGACAGAGCTGGAGGACTTTGCTTTTTTGGGGTGTGTAGCTTAGCGGTTTTTCCCTTATTTTTTTGAAACATTTAGTTAGTGTTTCTTTTTAAGTCTAAGTATCTACTAAAATGAACACTAAAGTAGGATCCATGTGGGGATTTTGGGGACAGCTAAAATGTGATTTTTAACATTTTTTTTCTAGTTGTTGAGTCTGAGTTCTGGGAAAAAAAAAAAAAAAATACCAGGTTTTCAAGTTCATGTGGCTTTTCTTGGGTCTATTCAGAAAAGATCCTGCCCCAGAAGACTACACAAGAGCCTGGGCTTATTTCACAAGAGCCTGCTGGTAACTGGCTAGTTCAGTTGGAAGCCATTACAGGCTTTTATCAACCCCTAATCTATAAAATTTATTTTACAGGAGTACTAGTTAGAAGATGAGAAACCATGTTTATGTGAAACGAATGTAATACAATCAAGCAGTAACACTTTTAAATCTTTAAAATTTGTAATCCAGACTGTAGCAGAAAGCCTTTGGGCTGCACTATCTCAGACCTTGCAGTCCTTGTTTATCTAGCAAGAGCTGCATGGTCAGGAATAGCTCTGGGGCGTACTGGGAATAAATACCTTGTGTCTCAGAAGTGAACCCTGGAGCATTTTTGTTCTTTCCCACAGGGATTCCGAGTGGATTTGCCCATCAAGTCTGCTCGGTACCGTGGGCAGTACAGCAGCTATCCCATCAAGCTGTTCTATACCTCCAACATTCCCATCATTCTGCAGTCTGCCTTAGTGTCAAACCTCTATGTCATTTCCCAGATGTTGTCTGTTCGTTTCAGTGGCAACTTCTTGGTGAACTTACTGGGACAGTGGGCAGTAAGTATTTTATCACATTTTAGCTGCATAGAATTATTTGCATTTTTACTTTGATGTGAATTCTTGGTATTTAACCAACTGGTATACTTACTTTTTAACATTTGTATATATAAGCTGTTTCAAACATCAAAGAGGAATTCCTCTATTAATACAGGATAGGAATGTGGGAAGTCTGTGAAAAATAATTTATTGCCTTATTCTTCCCCTCTCAGGATGTCAGTGGAGGTGGCCCTGCTCGCTCTTACCCTGTTGGTGGCCTGTGCTACTACTTGTCACCTCCAGAATCCATGGGTGCAATATTTGAGGATCCTGTCCATGTAATAGTTTATATAATATTTATGTTGGGATCCTGTGCGTTCTTCTCCAAGACTTGGATCGAGGTGTCTGGCTCATCAGCAAAAGATGTAGGTGTTCTATCTTAATCGTTTTCAAACAGTGCTTCTGGTTTAGAACTGACCAGCTACTGAATGGTCAGTTTATCCCAGTAAACATCAAGTGACTAAGAAACACTGCAGTCGTTTCATAAAATGATGTTTTTTGCAGGTTGCCAAGCAACTCAAAGAGCAGCAAATGGTGATGAGAGGCCACAGGGATACATCAATGGTTCATGAGCTTAACAGGTAAGGAAATGCTGACTTCCAGCTGGATGGCAAAGAGTGCTGGGGAAGTGTCAGCTAGAGCAGTTTGTCAGAAAAATCTGATACCTGTTTCCAGTGCAAAAGGGAAGACTCTGCCCATTCGCCTGTTGCCTTTCCTAGTTATGCAAAAGAAGTTATAGCAGCAGATTAGAGATTAACCTGTACTGTTTTTTTTATTTTAAGTGACATAATGAGGGATTTTGAGTTGAATCTCTTCCATGTTTGTAAAAGATACCTCGGTTACTACCTTTTTCTTTTCTGTTTTTACCTTTCTTACAGATACATCCCTACAGCAGCTGCATTTGGTGGTTTGTGCATCGGTGCCCTTTCAGTACTGGCTGACTTTCTAGGAGCCATTGGCTCTGGCACTGGCATTCTGCTTGCAGTCACTATTATTTATCAGTATTTTGAAATATTTGTAAAAGAACAGGCTGAAGTTGGAGGAGTAGGTGCATTATTTTTCTAGATGTCCAAATATTTCATGGTTTGTGTGAAAGGGAAAGTATTTTGACAACATGCGTCGTTTAGTCCAATAATGCTATTTTCTTTTTACTTGTTTTCAAGTGCTACGTGTCCCATTACTGTAATGGGCATTGAGCGATGCCTGTGTGCAGCATTAGTACCAGCTGCCTTAAGAATAAAGTTTACATTATCTTGTTTAAGTATTATCTAGTGTTGCCTGTAATGCTGGAAACAATTCATCTACCTTGCTGTTCAGACACTACAGTGAGATGGTAAAATGTATCAGTTTGAGAGCCGTGAATGTCTTTGCACACAGCAGTAAAGTGTTAAATTAATTTCCCTGTCCCTAATAGGAGAAAAAGATACCTGAGTTCAGATTGCCACGTGCCAGTATTCCTGACAAAATTTATTTGTATCTGTATTTTACATTAATTTTTTTATACTTTTTTAACTTGCATTTCCCCAACACTGAACTCAGCACTCCTTATTCCTTTGCGGTGCCTCCACCCAGGCATCTTTCACTGAGCTCTGAGGGTGGCAAGCAAACCTTTTACTGGTGGCTGATACTCATCTCACCTGTGAACTGGTTCTGTGGTGCATCTGCTGCGGCCAGGGCAGTCAGGTTCTTCCCCTGGCTGCTGTGGGGCAGGGCAGCCCAGCCCAGCAGTGCTGTTCAACCATGTACTTGTGAAAAGTGTGCCACTGAAACTTCATGTCCACTTTGCTTTTGTGAGTCTAAAGAACGAGGCCTGGTTCCTAAAGCAGTTCCTAGGAGGGAAAAGGGGGAACGGGGTGTTCCTGCTGAAAACTTGTCGCACTTTACAGCGGCGATGTAACAAATGTAAGCGTTAGACAATAAACTTATTTAATTAAACCCTCTCCTGTGTCTTGTCTGTGCCAGATGTATGTCATGTGCAGTCTTTGGTAATTTCTACAATGCTTTGATAGGGAGGTAGGTCGAGAAGACTCCCTTTTTTCCTCTTTAATTTTTTCTTTCTAGAATATAATTCTGATTAATTTTTAGCAGCCACAATAAAAAAAAAAACAACAAGATTCTTTCCCTTAAAGTCATTGAGCTTTTCTGCTCTGCGGTAATCACTTTTTCCCTTTGATGTCACATTTCTTCTGTCTTCTCTCACTCTTAACTTGAAAGTAACTTTGTGTTGTTTGTGAAGATAAGCAACTCTCAAGCAATTTTCTGTTTTAGAAAGTCTCCCTAATTATGCATGCTCATCCTCATCTATTTCAGAGGCAGGAGTGATTTTGATGTGTGTTTATTAATAAACTCTCAGATCCTGACCTTTCAGCAGTGGTGGCTGTTTACATAATTAGTTGCAGCCTACTGTGTGCAGATGCACTGAAGGTTTATTTGGGATAAGATGTACCTAGAAGTGATTTGACTGAATGAAGGTGCAGCCTCGGTAGACACATGTGTCCTTGGGAGAGGGAAAACTGCAAGGCTGTGCCCTCTCAGGGCACATAAGTGACCTCATGCCTTCAGTAGGATCCCCTGGCTGGGTCTGCACAGTTCTGGTTTGCACTGGTGAATGGTGGTGTCATAATCATTATTTTAGACCAAACAAACCAGTTTTCTTTCTGCATAGTTTAGTTAGGGCTGGGAGAAGGAAACATCATCTTCATGTCTAAATCATAATAGGAAGTTGTTAAAATTGCCATTTCAATTTCAGCTGTCCCTGCTCCTGTCACAGAGAATTACTACTTAATAGAATATTCTGCAATTCAATGATTTTTGAGTTGGAAGGGACCCACAAGACTCATCGAGTCCAACTCCTGGCCTTGTGCAGGACATCCCAAGAATCCCACCATGTGCCCAAGTGGTGTGGCCACTTCCCTGGGCACTTCCAGTGCCCAGACACCCACTGGGTGAAGAACCCTTTCCTGATACCTAATTTTAACTTCCCCTGACACAACTTCAGGCCATTCCCTTGGATCCTCTCACCATTCACTACAGAGAAGAAATCAGTGCCAGCCCCTCTGCTGCCCATCATAAAGAAGCTGCAGACCACCATGAGCTCTCCCCTCTCCGGGTGTTAGCTGTGAGAGAGAGTGAGACCTGCACTCACTCTTATGCCTCCTTTGGAACCATGGTGTTACACCATCAACCACGGTTACCTAAGCATCTTTTCTATACTGAATTGTAAGTGCAGAGAGGAATCTAGTGAGAAATGAGCCATTCTGAAAATTAAACAGTATTTTTATTATGGGTATTCTGTCAAGGGGTGATAGAGCAGTTAGAAGAAATGCTTTTTGTAAGTTACATAATTCCAAATAAAAATACCAGAATCATTACTACAAACACTTTTTTTGCTCTACAAGTAAAGCAAAGGACCCTGATTACAAGAATAGTTGTACTTCTAAGCCATCCAACTTGGGAAGTTTTGAATTAAATTTCTCAGTTCTAGAACTTCATAAAAGGAACTTGGAGCGGTTTTTCTTCTGCGCGCTTCAGAGCCAACGCGTAAGTATAAACCCTGGCATCTACTGCCAAATGCTCCTCTGCTACTAGTTCTGAAAATAAAAGACAAAAATTATGAGATGCTGTTAAAACCTCACCTTTACAGAAATGTAAGTCCTTGCTAAAATGAAGATGTGTAGCATTCCAGACACTGCAAACTCCTCCTGCTATCACTAACTCTCATGCCTGGCCAGGTCCCTCATGGCTTTTTGCTTAACAGACAGTATTCTAGGGTGGGAAATGACACGAGGAGCCCTGAGAAGAGAAGGGATTCTTGAAGCTCATATTAGTGCATTTAATGTGTCAAAAAGCTCTTACCATCAATCCTTTGCAGCAGGTCATTCTTTGGAAGTGAAACAACTTCCACATATTCTAGGAGAGAAGAAAAAGGTTTACACATCCTTAAATTAGTGAACAGTAGAGAATTTATCTCTGTTTATGTTTCTTGCAATTTAGAAAGGGAAAGAAACTGACTTAATGGTCATCACCATCCAAAAGCTGTAAGCTTTCATATATCAAAAAAAGGTCAATTAAATGGGGGAAGGCAGTGACTGAGCTCACTAAAAAACATGCTTGGCAGAAAAAAGCTGGAAAAACAGTTGGGGAAAAAGCGTAGCTGGTAGCTGTGAAGGATAAGAATCTCAAAAAGAGAAATCTCTCTTTTGAGAATGAAAAATACACTGTTGAAGAAAACTTGTTTGGCTTCTCCTGGTACAGGAATGGATTGGAGATGCATTTCAAGAGCAAACCATCTCAAAGGGTTTGTTAATGATGGATTTATTCTGGCTTACCCCTCTCCCGTCTCTCTGAATTACCTGTCTTTAGGGCTTGACCTACAGCTGTTGGGGGGTAAGTAATTTGTATTTCCTGAAATAGTGGTGCTATAGGTGTAATACTGGGAAAGATAATTGACGCAATAATGCCCCATAGGAATTTGCATCTAGGCCAAAGTCAACCTCAGGCACATTTGATTAGGGTGAGGAGATTACCCAAGCACAAATAAACACCAGCTGTAACTGACTTTTTCTAAGTAAAACTTGCCATACGAAGAATCACGCTTGACCTTATTATCAGTGAGATCACAGTCACATTACGTACCTCCATCATCTGCAAGTGAAAAAAGTAGTGAGTTAAGGGGTTGAAATACACTGGAGCTTACAGTTAGAAAGCATTTGACAGCTGATTGTGAGTGACACTGCAATTTCTTCCAGAGTGAAGCTACAACTGAGAACAGTATCTAGATCCACAAGTGTTTATGGCCTCACTGAAATTTGGCACCAAAATGTTTTATTCTGAAGCTGACACTTCACATCTGGGCTTCTCCAGTGAATTCAGCAGAGACACACTCTGCTCATCTAGACTGCAGGATGTGATTGGAAGGATGTGCAGTACCCAAATCAGCTAGGACGGAAGAGATATAGTGGTGGGGTTAATTGTTTCAAACCTATTGTTTTGTTATCTTCTCAAAATTTTCAGATAAATGGTACAAAAACTCACCAAGGTTTTGCTTAGGTCTTGTGTTCTCAGCTTCATCTCCATTAATGATGACACTCACGATGTGTGTTGTGCTGTTTGACATTCCTGGGTCCAAGCACAGAGCTGCCAACAAGTACATGGAGAGGTTCATTTTTCAGAGCAGGAGTCAGGCACCTTGACATTTTAACAAAAGCTTTCACAGAAATGTATCTGATACAATAGTAAAATATATATTTGGCAGACATTTATGCTGTAAGAACAGCAAAAACTTTGTCTTCACATATTCTTAGAAGTAATGTTTCTGTAACTCTCAGCTCTTTACAGATCCCTGGTAAGACTTGTTTTCACAGCCAAATTTACTTTCCAATCCATAGACTAAAGATTTACTGTAAACTATCCCTTATAGACTTCCTCAGTCTGAGTCTAATTTTGCCATCACCTGTCTCCAACCTCTCCCAATCCCCAGAATACAGTTGTACCCAATAACTGAGAGACAAGACTCGGCTGCAATGACATTTCCTCAAAATCCTAAATTGCCTCATCTACCTTCTCAACCTTTAATTTATGATCCTCATTTTGCCTTCATTTTATCTTAAGTAGGAAGCATAGGATTGGAACAATCATGTTCCAAAGGATCTCTGAATTTACTCCAATTACTCTCCTTTCCTCTTTCCAGGTGGAGAACCCAAGTGCTGTCACCTCCCCAAAAGTACTGTCACCTCCCCATGGCTAACAGAAGGCTGACCTCTGCAGCTCTTTTTTCCTAAGTTCACAAATGTTGTTCACAGAAGTCCAGCACTTTAGACCTGTACACTAAAATGCCAGATCACAGGTTGAATAATTGGGTTTTGTGTAAAAGATTCTAATTAATAGCAATTTCCTCCCTACAGACATCAAACTTACTTCAGACAGAAGTTCAGCAACTGATTGCACATCAAGGACCAAAGTTTCACTTTTACAGCCATGAGATGCTACCCTGCTAATCTGAATAGGCTTTGCTGCTTGGATTTTCCCTTTGGTTTATAGCATTTCAGACATTTAGAGTAGCCATCAAGACAGATTTAGCTTTGGTGGGAAAAAATAAAAAGAAGCAAAGACCTGGAGTACATTCAATGACTTCCCCCTTGTACCCAGTTTCTTCCTTCAGCTCTCGAAGCGCAGCACTTTCTGCTGACTCGTTTTCCTCAATGAGGCCTGGGAGGATACATAATACACAAAAAACAGTTAAAAGCCTCCCACTTAACTGCAATACCCATCCTGAGATCTAATCAAGCTTTATGGAAGAGGGGAAATATCCTCATTACTCTGTCTTTACAGAGTAGTAAGTGTTAGGAAGGTTTCCTGTCCCTGGATTCATTATGCTGCTCCCCACATCCTTAAGCAATTATTTACAGAATCATGCTGCCTTCCCCAAAAATGGCATTAATATTCTCATGAGAGAAAGAAACTGAATGCTTTGACAGTTAGAGAAAGGAGAAGTGGAGGGAATTTTCTCCAATCTGCTAAAACAAGCTTATTTTGATTTTTTCATTATCAAATACTCCTATTTTAGAACGTGGAACTCAGGACGGTTTTCCACCTAGAGGTTCATTACGATCACAGAATCACAGAATCAACTAAGTTGGAAAAGACCTTGGAGATCAAGACTAACCTATAAAATATATATAACTTATAAAATACATAAATATTGACACTTCCTGCACATCTAAATACACTGAACCATATGTGACTCATCCCCATGTTTCAGCCACTTACCTGCAGGAAATTCCAAACAGTAGGCATTGATTGGAGGCCTGAACTGTTTCACCAGGACAATGCAGTCGTAGTGCAGGGTTCTCTGTAGCACTGCTATCACTGCTACACCTACCACAGCCATGGGAGACACAAGGACATGGAATGTGAGTGTAGCAGAAAGTGAGATTTTAGTGCCAGATCTGGAAAGGAACCCACACACTGCTACTCTGAGTATTAAATGTTTAGGTGCCTGCTCCAGAATCCTGAGTGATGAATTTAAGTTCTTTATATCATGCATGGTGAGAGATGTTCAAAGCTCCCCAGCAAGCCAGAGGCACACATGCCAAGCAAGACTGAGCCTCAGGGAAGGGCTCTCCTACCTACAGAAACTGCTCAAAAGCCTCTGTAGGGAACTCTCTACTACATTCTTCTTGTCTAAATCATGTCCCAAAGAGCCCCTTGACCCCTTGGCCCCTAAGAGGAGACCAAATCATCAGTTTGTGAGCTACTCTGTATCAGGGCATCTCTGATGTCTTTGGAAATGCTCCATCATTTTAAAGTGAACACAATGATCTTGGGAAAGCACTCCCAAAGTTCTGATTCTTCAGCGCTTAAGTTAGCATTTCATTAGCTCAGGGGTATAGCTATCTCTGCCAAGCCACCTGTTCCACATCCTCATTCATTCAGGAACAGATCAGCTCAAAATCTGCATTGTCAGCTTCTCAGAAGGACTTACATAGGAAAAAATGCAAACAGAAAAAGCCACCAATTCTTACCATCAGCTGTAACTCCCTTTTTGTTGCCAGTACGCTTTACAGTTTCCCAAGTTCTGTTTAAACAGAGAAAAGAGCAAATGAATACATAAGTCATCTTCTACCCTTGCTACTTTCATTTAAAGCAAAATGTACCATCACACAGTGAGATGTAAGAAGCAGCAGGTCATAGGCAGGCCCTGTCATACACTGGCACTATAAAATGTCTACAGCATAGTTTTCTTTTGCCTTCTTAAGGAGGGAGAGAGAAAATAGTTAATTTTAGTTATGCAAAAGATCCAATCTTGCTAAATTTAAGAAGATACTCTGCTCGTGAACTGGGAGGCACTAGAGAAAGCAATCAGCACAGAATCTAATACATTAAGGGGAGGAAATTAAAGCCATGTTGTAACACCTACATAAATACAGCAAAACTAAAGAGTACAAAAGAATTGGACATAAATGATAACATACAAGAGGACATTAATTTGTCAGTAACATGCAAGACCTAGCAACACCAGTAGGAAAAAAGGAGCCCTTAATGAAGAACCAGAAAAGCCACAGGATGGATTCTCTGATTGCCATGGAGTAGTTGCACAGCTGGAACTCACTTCTGTGGAGCACCTTTCCAAAGAACTGGAAATGCAACACAATCCAGGTCCAGTGTGCCCGAGAGGATTTGGGAGCCAAATTCAAACCCAATGCTTGCACATCTGCTGGAGTAAGATTCTCTTCTCTGAACAGCAGGAACTCTGAAGGAACCTCACAATGAACAGCTCATCTTGTATGGAGTGATGTGTTTGTAATGCTTGTGTTTTCTAGCCTGGGGCCAGCCTGTACAATTGGGAATCTGGAATACCAGAGAGGCAATTACCTGGTTTTCCCAAAGGGATCAGTGTAAGTTGTTTCCGCAAGCTTCAACCATTGTCTTTCTACAATTACCTAAAATAAAGATTTCTTTGTTAATTACGTTTTAAAATTAATCCCAAAGAATTGGGAGAAACAACACAACTATTTTTAGGTTCTTTTGAATACAAATTTCAGCATCATAACCCATGCAGGAATGTGGAACAGCATTCCTGTTGCTAATACAGAAAAAAAATTACTCTAAATTCTTGAATACGAATAAAAAAATAACCCCAAGACAGTAGCTTTTCTTACCATGAGTTTTATAACCAAGTTTGGATGAATTCAGTGGGATTTTATGTACTGCAAAGTCCTAATTTTTTTTAGTAGGATTTTGCAAGGGTAATATATCAGCTGCAAAAGGGTCTCTGGGCTACACAGACTTTATCTACACTGGTGCTCAAGAGTGTCCCCTTAGCAGAGAGCACAGCCCAAAAGCTGAGCATGCAAGACTGAAAACCAAACTACCCTGAAACTTTTCTTGCCCTGATCCCAGACTGTGGCCTTGTGTAACTGCTGTTTTCTGCAGCTGTGAGAGTGATACATACCTGCCCCTTTAGGACTCTGAGAGCTGCTGAGTGGGTGCTTGGCATTAACACTATGACCAAATGTCTTTTCTGGGCTAAATGAGTTTATTTTCCCTATGATGTTTCCTCATAATTTATGTAATTCATTTGAAAGAGAAAAATCCCTGGATAATTAGCCCAGCAGTTTGCTTCTTTTACTGTAACTTGTTTTAAAATGAGTTATTTTTATTGCTTTGTCTATTACTTTGATGAGCAAAAAACGTCTGCTTAGAACAGCCTGAATGTGCCTTCCCAGAAAAAGGAAGAATGAAGTAAGATCAGCTCCCATTTTCATGGAAGATAGTCCAGCATCAGACTACACTGTTACTGCACAGTTACAGAAACACTTCTGATATAAGAGCCACTGGCAGAAAGAGGGTAAATACTTCTCTCTATTAAGCCCACAAAATGATTGAAAAAAATAAATAGCTTAAAATATGTAAGATCTTATTATAAATTTTTAGTGATACCGAAGAGTACATTGTTTTAAAAGAGAATAACTAAGAAACATTACAAAAAACCCCCAACAACAACAAACCAAACAAAGAAAACCATAAAAAACCTACACAAAACCAAACCAAGAGGATAAAATTAAAATGCTGCCTGCAAAATACCCAGCTCCTAATAGCAAACCCAAAAAGATTACAAAAATTAAATCCTTTATGCTTGTGAAATATTTGTATTTAAAAAATACAAAGAGAAAATACATAATCCAAACAAATCTCTTTTTTCCTTGTGCCTTGAAACCAGAAGAAATTACAAGAGTGTGTTCACTCCATGAAGAACAAATAAAAGAAACCATAGTTGTGTTACAATAAGAGCAGGACACTGCCAAATCTGTCTTAACACCAAAGATTAACTTTTGAAACTTCACTTAAGAGGGAACAGAAACAAATACAGGCAGCTTAGGGTGAAAGTGCTTCAAATAAGAATGAAGTACCTCCAGAATCCTTTCTTAGGACTGATGTTATTCTTAGTACTTCCTTACTTATGTCTTTGAAACAGCAATTATCTAAATTCAATCTTTTCAGAATACAAAACGTGGTACAATCCTAAATGTTAAAGCAACCCTTGGTGGTTCACCACCTTAAAGAAACAGAAAACTGAAAGAGTTAACTGTTGCTGAATTTCATAACCCAGCAATTTGTAAAGTCTCTCAGAGATATCAGCATTATTTCTGAACATTGAAAAACCTCCTCAAGAGACAAGTACAAGAAACAGATGCAAAATCTGAAAAAAAGAGAAGCAGCTAAAAAAATAATGCAACACAGTAGATTTCTCTATGCTCATTGACAATTTGTATAATTATTTCGATAAAGAGGAATGTCACATTGTTTAAACTCCTTGACAATCGGGAAGAAGTGTTTTATCTATTGAATAGGTTTTTATGAACATACATCATCTCTAGCATTTTGTACTCTGCACTCACAAACTGACAAATAATTGTTATTTAACAACAAAAAAATGTCAAACCCAAGCATGCTGTACCTCTTCCTTAAGGACGAATTGTTTAGCTGTTTTTGCAACTTCTGTGGATGTCTCAGCTGCCATTTTCAGGAATGTCAGGTTTTCCCCTCCTGTGCAAAGTCCAGATATAAATGAAACAAAATCAATATTTGCTTTCAGTGTAAAGTTAAAAGGTTCATTTCTGTACTGTCAATTAACAAATATAGCTTGTTGGAGAAAGTCAGGGACGTGTGATGGCAAGTTCAATTCATGCTTTCAGCTCCACCCAGTGATTTCAGAATGGAATAATTCAAAGGAGAAATATAAATTTGGGTCAAATCCCTGACTTGCATAGTTTTAATAGTCCTATCAGCTGTCAGGTAGCTATGCCAGCTGAAGACACTTTTCTTAACTATTCCAATGTCAGACACACTTACAGACAATCCATTTCAAATTGTTTTGTTCTGATCTAGGTGAAATGCTCTGTCAGCAGTGTCTGGACAACAGGACTGTGCATTCCACTGTGAAAGTGCAAAAAAAATCTTCTATCAAGAGGACTTCAATAGTAAAAACTGTCTGCTATTAAAAATCAGAACTAGAACCTTACTTACCTATCTCCACCTTACATCACAAATAAACAGGTAAATGAGTCAACCTTTCCTCTAGAAAACAAGGTCAAAAAACTACACGTGTGTTGCAAGTCTGTGCAGCACGTGGGGCTGGTGTGACCATGGCATGTCAGTCTCTTACTACAAATGGTGTGCCCAACACCATGCAAAAGGCAGCATTTTCATTTAAAAATGCCCAAAGCAAGGCTCTGCACCTGCAGCTCAGTGCCTCAGCCTGCATCTCCAGGAAAGTGAGATTATGTACTCCCTCCATCCAGTTCCAGCCTAAAGACACAGCAGGTAACAGAAAAAAAAAATGTATTAGAGACTGAACCTGTGTCACTGTGGAACTACAGGGGACTTTCAGCACAGAAACCATCAGAGAAACCATCTCTGATATTAATATAATACTCTGATATTAACTTAATACTGAAGTCCTGAAAATCATAAGGAATCATAAGCAAAAGCCAGTGAAAATAAACAAATCAGTTTAAACACCAGGAGAGATGAGATGAGATAATCTTAAAGATTTCAATCATCCATAGCATTGATGGTCATAATCGTTCCATAAAGTCAAAAAGAATCTCTCTATGTCTTCAGCTATGGATTAATAAGGCTCTGTGTGGTCTCTAGCAATGAACAGTACCAAAGAGTGTGAAAACCTTCTCTGTCACACCCAACTTCATCACTTTCATTTTTTACTTAATCTTTATCCTGTAACATCTGTTGCACACTTGTGAAACACGAAAGAAAGAGCAACAATCAGTTCTCCTACATACTGGATTGACATTTACTTGCAGTAAATTCCTTAAGACTAAGGAACTAAGGAACAGGTAGGACTAAATATTTCTGTTTATCAGCAGGAGTAAAACTAAAATACATGAAACCACTTTCTTGGTCTGTACACAGCCCAGGCTCGCTCTCAATTCTTACCTTACCACAATTTGTATGAAAAGCTGTTCAGTAGCTTATGTTACACTGCAGTTCAGTCGGCCATTCCAGTGCTTGGAACTCCCTTCTCTTAGGATTGAAGAGTTCTATCTGGACAATGGCCATGGTCTCATGCTGTGACTCTCAAACACAATATCAAGCTTTCCACCAAACATATGCAAAAGAAGCACAGGCCAGGAGAAACACTCATAGGAGACTGTGTGATGTCTTTAAAAACACAAAAAACCTTACATAACTAGCTACAGCAAATTCATCTCCTGCATTTGGAAAGAATTGCAGCCTTTTGCATTGTCAATAGAAATACATGAAAGGAGTAGGGAGTGAACCATAGCCTTGTTAAAGTTGTCTTTGGATTGGGCTGTCTTCCTCTTTTACTGTCCCCTCACAGGAAATCCTGTTCCATTCATTGCACAAATCCTTCTGCATAAATATCAGTGTATCTTCCTCAAACATGGATTACCATAGTTGTATTATGAAAAAAAAATACTAGAACCTCATCTCACAGCCGAATCTGTTTACAAAACAGCTTACTTTCTCCTGAGAGATTCAGTGGTGACTTGCTACTTAACACAACAAAGAAACATACACAGTTTCAGTGGTTTGAATTATCACTAAAACGTAAAATGGGTGAACACCTCAAAGAGAGGGGAATGCTGATCTATCCCAGCTTCTGTAGTTTGGGTCTCCTCCACAAGTGGGTGCAGTAACTCTGCGTATGGTGACATTTTTAAAAGTTCCACTAAAACATATTTTTGTGCAGATTCAGTTGGCAGCATAGAAGTGAGAATTTCTGCTGTTAGAAAGCTGAAATAGTGTTCGGTTAAATGAAGGCTACAATTCTGGCATCTCACATTAGTCATGCTGTCAAGGATGGCAACATCTCTGTTCATAAACAAAATTAGCTGCAACTGAAAATTAAATTTAACACTAAAATGTGAGGTTTCTAAAGGCCTATTTAGCTTTCAAAACATGCCTTGTCTTGCACTTCTTCTATCTCATAAAATTCCCTCTGCATATAAATATGAGTTCATTTGAGTTAAAAACTCAGTGCAGCTGATACAGCAGCCTGAGAACCTGGCTACCTGGCTTAGGATTACATGAGCTCTAAGAATTCACATTTTTAATAGTTATAAATGCAATATTAAGAATATGTCAAAGTGCACACATTTATCAGCTGCCTTAACATGAATCTACAGCACTTGAACTATCAATTATGAGGAAAAACAAACATTTTCTACTTGGTCTGGAGTTTTTGTGCCCAGTGTTACAGAGTACAGCTAGCAAATCATGCTACTTCTTCAGTTTATTTCAAACTGGGGTCAAATTCGGTCCTGCAAAAGCCATGCCATTTATAAAATATGTAACTTTATTCCCATTTCTTATTCCTTTATTGAGTAGCTTCCTTTCAAGGCAGCATCCAGCCATTATCCTTCCCAGCAGTTAAAATCTTAAGCCAAGGTCTGTGAATCAGTTTGAGAGAGAAGTCAAGCTATCAGAACTATATTTCAATATTAATACTTAGATAGATTAATTTTCCCAAATCACTTTGCAGAAGACATTCTATGATCCAAACACATATTCCAGCTGACAGATTTAAGGGAAGCTCAGGAATGGGGGTCCATGGCAAACTCAAGGTCAAGGTCAAATGAAATGCAGATTTTCTTATAAAGAATGTGCAAAAGAGACACTGGCAACATTTTATGTACGAGTTAACCAACAGCACTCTGAGATACCTAGGCTGAAGATAAACATAATTAAAAACTCCTGAGGCACTTTAAACTTGTTACTTGAACTTTAGTGCTATGATTCTAGAAACAATATCAATTAAGTAGCAATTAAGTTGAGGAGAGGGAGAAAGTTTCATTTTTATCAAGGAATCTAGAAGCATGGATGACCCACTAAGTGCCAAATAAAATATGGACAAGGAACTGCAGAGCAGACAACAAGGATTATCTCACACAAGCAGAAGAGGGTTAGAGGCAGCTCCAGGGTGTTATCAAACTTCCCAACAGCTGAGGTGTCACACAGCTGGGAGAGACGTCCCCAAACTGCAGATATGAGAGCACAGGAGGAGACATCGCATGGAAACACCTCCATGCAGGGGACACACATGCACAGACACAACAGCTGAACCACGGGGCTTAAAAATCCCCCATACTACTCGGTAATGTTTGACTTGGGACCGAACAAAATGAAACATCGGTTGATAAAAAACTTAACGCTGAGCTGACAACGTGCACCCAAAGCCAAAGGTGTCCCGGGCTGCATCCAAAGATTTTGCCCCTCTCCCCTGCCCTTGTGAGAGCCCACCTGGAGCACTGAGCACAGCTCTGTGTCCCCGGCAAAACAAGGACACGGAACTGCTGGAGCAAGCCCAGAGGAGGCCACGAAGTTGATAAGGAGACTGGAACATCTCCCCTAAAAACACAGGCTGAGAAAATCGGAGAAGGTTGTGTGGAGACCTCAGAGCACCTTCCAGTACCTGAAGGAGCTACAGAGAATCTGGAGAGGGCCTGTTCATCAGAACTGCAGTGACAGAACAGGAGTAATAGGTACAAATTGAAAGAGGGGAAATTTAGGTGAGATATTAGGAAGAAATCCTTTACTGTGAGGGTGGTGAGACACCAGAACAGATTGCTCAGAGAGCTGCAGATGCCAGCCTGGATAAAGCTTTGAGCAATCCGGTCTCACGGGAGGCGTCCCTGCCCATGGCAGGGGGTGATTGCAACTGGATGATCTTTAAGGTCCCTTCTAACCCCTTTACATCTTATGAGTCTGTGAGTCAGCTCCATGCAGGGCACACGCGGGCAGTCGGCAGAACCTACAGGGATGACACGTTACTCAGCTCTTCCTGGGCTCGGGGCAGGGCAGAGCGAAGGCAGCGCTGCGGAGGCTCCGGGGCGCGGCCGCCGAGCGGGGCCGGCGCGGGGCAACGCTGAGGCGGCGGGGGCGGGGCCGGGCCCCGTGCGGAGGGGGCGGGGCCGGGCCCGGTGCGCCGGCGATGGCGCCGGGCGGCGCCCGGAGCTGCGCGGGAGGTTCCGGGGGGAGCGGGAGCTTCCGGGAGCGGCCGGGCTGAAGAGGAGGAGGAGGAGGAGGATGAAGAAGGAGCAGGTGGCGCACTGCCAGTTCTCCCTGTGGTACCCGCTCTTCAAGGCCGTCACCATCCGCAGGTGTGGGCGGTGAGGGGCGGCGGGGGCTGGGAGAGGCGGTGCGAGCCGTAGGGGAGTGGTGTGGGGTGAGGAGGAGTGCGCGGCCGGGTGGGAGTGGGTGACAGGAGTGTGGGGCGAGAGACAGCCACACTCTTCTATCCTGCCCCTTCCTTCAGCCCTGGTGAGGCTCCTCTGGAGTGCTGTGTCCGGTTCTGGGTTCCTCAGAGCACGAGGGACATGGAGCTCCTGGAACGGGTTCAGTGCAGGGCTACGAGCGTGATTAAGGGACTGGAAAAGCTGAGGGAACTGGGCCTCTTCAGCCTCGAGAATTACAGAATGATTTGGGGTAGGAGGGACCTTAAAGATCATTTGTTCCAATCTCCTGCCATAGGCAAGGACACCTTCCTCTAGACCAGGTTGCTCCAAGCTCCTTCCACCCTGGCCTTGGGCACCTCCAGGGATGGGGCAGCCACAGCTTCTCTGGGGTGCCTGTGCCAGGGCCTCACCTCCCTCACAGGAAAGAATTTCTTCCTAATATCTATCTAAACGGAGTCTCTCTCAATTTGAACCCATCCCCGCATATACGTCACTACAAGTCTTGCTCCATCTTTGCTGCAAGTTCCCTTCAGGTACTGGAAGGAAAAAGAGATGAGCGAGAGGGGACTTCATTAACACATATAAATATATCTAAAGGGGGGGTGCCAAAGGATGGACTTGGTGGTGCCCAGCAATAGAAGGCAAAGGGAAGAAACTGATGCCCAGGAAATTCCACCTGAACATGAAGATTTTCTGTCCTGGGCAGTGGCCAAGCACAGGAACAGATTGTCCAGGGAGGCTGTGGAGTCTCCGTCACTGGAGATATTCCAGAAGTGTCTGGACACAGCCCTGTGCTGTGTGCTCTGGGATGGCCCTGCTTGAGCAGGGAGGTCAGAGCAGATGAGCCCTGTGGTCCCTTCCAACCTGACCCATTCTGGGATTCTGTAGGGCTAGGCTGTGAAAATGAGCTTGTATTGGGGCAGGGTTGGGTGAGATAAAGGGGAACTGTATGGGGCAGAGCTGGGGTGGAGGTGGTAAAGGATTGTTTGAGCCATCAGCTGCAGTGCCAGGAGCTGGGGTCTTGTCTCTGTATCCCAAGGGAGTGTTTTGGGAAGTCCTAGGGTGGGCCAGGTATCCCTATGCTCCCTGTTCTCCTGGTGGGATTCCATGCTGAGCATCAGAAGGTGTCCACACTGTTCCTGTTATCCACTTCCTGCTATCCACACTGCTGTTCCTACTTTAACTGTGACTGAGTAGATCCAACCCAAGTGGCCAACTTGATGTTTCTTTGTATTTCTGGAAGCTATAGGAAATCTAAGAAAATCTAAGGTGCTGCTGCAGGTCATGAGATTGTTACAAGAGCTACCAGTAGCTCAGGAAAGTCGAGATAGCTGCCCTGTTGGATCAAAAAATGCTGACATCATGCTGTCAGTAATCAAAGCATTTGATCTTTTATTTTTTTTAGTGTTTAGCAGAGACTTATTTTTTGTAAGTTTAGTGATAGTTCTTCATTTTTAGAACATTAGGATGGCATATATTGATTTGGATTTCAAAAGAAAAACCTTTAGTTTGAGCAACATGTTGTCTCCTCACAAGCTGCACATAATTTTACTTGGAATTTCTTAGAACTTTGAAGGAGTGGGGCATTTTTGTGCATTTCATCTAAAACTTTTGTCCTATACTTCCCTGGAGGGAAAACGGACATGGCTTTTTTGGGTGAGGCATAAGATGGGCAAAAGAGAATTTTCTTCCATAATGTTAGAGGATAAAACATAATATTGTTGAGGTATGTGTTGTGAAAAAAACAAATTATTTTATTCCACTAGGATTTTATTTTAACAAGTAATAATAAGGTATTAAAGAGATTTTCACATTTCTTCTAGTGTTATACTTCCCCTGCCAGAGAATGTGAAAGAATATTTGCTGGATGATGGAACATTGGTGGTTTCTGGAAGGTAAGGTGTGTTTTCTCCCCAGCTTCCAAGTATTAATGCCATCTTATATTCACAGCAGCGTTTTGTACATACATATTGTATTGAGCATAAAGAGTTTTTAAATTTGACCAGTGTGAGTGCAGCAAACCTCACACTGTGTGAGCATGTGAATGGGCTGACTGTTGTTAGTACAGCTGGATTTGCTGGTGCCTGAAGCAGATCCTAACCCATGAACTACTATTAATTCTAGACCAAGTGAACACAGTATTTTCATTTTTTTTCTCCACCTTTTTCTGGGGGTTGTACCAGTCTGTGAGATGCTCAGCTAGTTTGCATTTGGTTCTGGTTGGGTCCGGTTCAGAGGCTTGACCTGTCCCATGCCAGTCCAGGGGTGAAGTGACATTGCTTGAGCTTAATTCTCAATAAGATAAGCTATATCCAAACTCAGTAATTAGTAACATTTTATATAATCATTGTATGTGGGTAATCCTTGCATATGGCAGAGCTGAATGTCCTGTATGTACACCCATGCCAGGATTTTGGATGGAGAAGAATGAGGTGGATAGATAGCAGGAACAATTGGTAAGAACACAGGCCTTGCTCTTTGTGCCTGTGTAGGATCTCACTGTGTGGTTTCCTTGAGAAATGCTGCATGCACCTTGTTAATGATCAAACTCAGAAACCAGCCCTCACTCCATGATTCCCTAACTGGTAGTTTGGCCCTTGCAGAGCAACCAGTGAGGCTGTGAGTGAAAGGGAGGTTGGTCTGATTTATCAGGTATCAATTTATATAAAAATTGAAGCTGTTTAAATGCCTTGTAAAGATGAAAGGGTTTAATTTTTAATTTCTAAGTTCTTTTTCTTATTAAAGGGTATCCAGAATATTGGAATTGTTTTTTAAACCATTTCGGATCAGAAGTAGCATTGTTATCTGCTTCTGCAGAATTGTGCAATTTATTTAGCAGCAGCTGTTTCTTTTAATAAGCCTTCAGAAAAGCTGAAATTGAGAGTTTAACACACTTAACTGCTGTGTTCTACAATTTTTCTGTCTTCAATGGAGTAATGGACAGCTGTATGATTGATTTCAATTACATTCTTAGGATGTTTGCAGTTAAAACCCCTTCTAAAAACCTTTTTTTCTGAGTTGAATTTTCTTAGCTATAAGTGACTGTGATCTTGCAGTCAAAGCCAAGATTGCTTCTAACCTTCAGTGCACCCCTATCTGGCCTCTAGATCTCAAAAATTCGATTGAAGGCTTAATCCTTATGGAAGTGCATTGAGGGGACTGCAGAAACTCAGCTTGTCTAAGAATTGACTTTTGGCAGGGATGTACATTGACCTTGCCCTGTTTACTACACTCTCCACTTTCCATAGAATCTTCTTTTGTTTGTATGCTGAGTGTGAGGACATTTTCTTTTCAGAGCCAGAAATTCACAGGTCAACATTTGAAACTTCAGGTTTATGAATTTTTACTTGGAAAGGTAATGTGGAGGCAAAGCATAATTTAAATTGATTTTATTTTTTAAAAATTCAATTTATGTTTGTGTCAGAGTACAGTAAAGCTGGAAAAGAATCATTAACAAGGTGTTGAAAAGCTTCAATTATGGTGTTTTAGAGCAAAAACTGATCTGCTAATTTGAAAGAAGCAAAGTGTTCAGGGTAGGACCTAAGCCTAATGCCAGCTGTTTGGTCTTTAGTTCTCACTACTGGCTTCTCAGATTTTTCTCTCCCAGGGTTTGGATTTTGAGGTTTAATCTTATGAAAGCATTTTGATATCAAGAGCTGGAAATGCTGTGGAAATGTAATGGACATGGTCAAGTCAAACTCCAGTGCTTAATTATTTTTCCTGTTAATTTTTTATTTCAGAGAAGATCCACCAAGTCATGCTCAGGAGGGGAGTGATGATGCAGAGGAGATACAGGTCAGTGTAAAATGCAAATTAATGTCCAGACTCCTGAGAAAAATATGAATGTGTAACTTCTTCTGCATAATATATAGGTGTGGAGAGTCCTTCACAGAAATAATTATCATGTGTAGTTGCCATGAAAAACGTAGAATGTGATCACTTATGCTGTGAAGTCAGGGAAAGTTTCAAATATTTCTATGCTCTTTCACAGAAGACTTTTTTTTTTTTTTTATTTTTCATTTATTGATAATTACATTTGTAATAACAAATGGGGAATGTTGAAATTGAACTTAATGCTGTTTCATGCCCTGAAAAATTAGGAGTACATTTGGAGTAGTTACTTCAATAAACAGTGAAAGTTTCTGAGGCCATAATAATTCGGAAGGCTAGAGGGAAAACACTGAAAAATGTTGTAAGTACAAGGTGACAGAAGGTACAACAAGGAGATGAAAAAGAAATAAAAGCGAAACTAATGGATCATGGATCTAAGGATGGAAGTGCTGGAGCTGAAGACAAGCTGTAGATAGGGACTGAGTTCTGAAATGTCCATCTTTCTGATACAAATCACAATTGAAATATATACAGGTATATTTTTATCAATATGTTAGAGTAGTGCTTCTGCTGAATATATAGTGGTTTTCCTGTATTACTCTACAGACAAAATAATTGCAGGATGGTGATGTTATGCTGTCTGGGCCAGTGATTTCATCTACATGTTGTAAGAGGCTGCATGAATTCTGATGTTCTCATAAATTATGAAGGAATTATGAATTATACACTCAGGAAACTTTGGTAACCTTTGGTTTGTTCTTATTTTGAGCAGTGGTCGGATGATGAGAACACTGCAACACTTAAGGTAAGGAGCTGTAAAAGCCCAGTGTGGGTTTGTCAGCAGTTTCCTTTCTGCAGCCTTGTGATACAAACTTGTTGCTGGTTAGAGATCTCTCTTGCTGTTTTTAACATTTTTCAGACCATTGTAGATGGATGGCAGTGGAGATATCTGTAACTTCAAAAACGTTTTGGTGTCTTAATTTTATTTAACTAAAATAAAACACTTTCCTTCATCCTCAACAATCATACACTTGTTAGACTCTAGGAAATTAACTGCAGTACAGCTCTAAATATAGCTTTCATTTTCACCACTTTGAGAATGTCCAGATTATTTAATCAGACTGGATGCAAAAGAAACGAACCCCCTACAGCTCAATCTTCACAGCTCTTCTCTTGATATGCCATTATTTCTTCTAAGTACATCTCTCTATAATTTTTTTATTTTCCTGTCTCTATGGTCTCCTTGCACGTGGAATCAAGATCATAATGGATGCACACCAGGCTTTCTTGATTTTTTTCTGACATCTTTTTCTGAAATTCGCTGTTGCCCTGTCACTGTCAGGGTTAAAAGGCTTAAGGCACTTGTCTGCCATCGATGCTGTGATTTCAGTCCCTTAGCTCCCTAATGTTCATCAGGGTGTGGAATTGCTCATGTTGGATTAGGTGCCATATAATGACAACCCTGCTTTGAGTGGTACTTCTGATAGCACAGAATTTATAGCCTAGAGTTTAAAACTAATACATTTTAAATTTGTACATACTGATTAATCTTCAGTTCAAATATTTAACCTTTGATAACCTAGAGTCCTTAAATTCTAAATTATTTAAAACAAGGATTTTAGGATCCATCACATGGTTTGCAAAGCTCATGGTAGTGATGCTAAATAAGTAATACCAGAGTTTTGAATCAGATTCTTTTATAATGTAGAACACAATAAGGAAATACATAATTAAGAGGTATTTACTTGTCAGAGGAGCACAGGGCAAATGACTCTAGTGTATCTAGGTAAGACTACAGCTTCCTCATGAGGGAAGTGGAAGGGCAGAAAATTCTGTTTTTAGAATAACTTTTATTAATATTAATGGTTACAAAGCCAGGCATTCAAAATTCAGGAAATGATGGAGTCCAACTTGTTTATGCAGTTGTAGAACTTTCCTCTTGTGTGTATATTTATCCCCTTGTGTTAATCAAATGACACTTTGGTAACATTTTCCCAAGGAGGCTTAGTATGTGCTGGTATTACATATATAGTAGGACTCCTGATTTATGTCAAAACAAAAGAAGCTTGGACCAGAATGCAAAGGTTTATTTCTTGCAGGAACAGTTTCTAGAATCGACTGAAATTTTAAAAATAAAATTAGAGAAGGTTTTTTTCAGTTTACCAAGTGTAGTTTCCCTTGGAGACTAGGTAATGTATGAAAGAAAGGTTCAGAATGCTTGAAGTTCAGTCTAGGTCACTGCACTAAAATGTGAGAAGGTTTTTTAAGTGTTTGCATTTGGGGAAGCTGCAGTGAGGAGATGCCAGAATGTATGAGGTTTTTTTATTCACTTGTATGGCTGTGACAGTTTTGTTGTTTAAGAGGCATCAATTAGCTTTATCCTAGAAGTTACTTTTGAATTGAGTTTAAAAATAGACAAAAATAGTGTTCCTATATGCTTCTTGCTATAAATCCTGTTACAGGAAAAATCTTTGGCATATGCTTCAAATCCTTTCATATTATTTTAAAGGTCAGCAACCTGTTTTTTTTCTGTAGCACCACATTCAGGGTAGAGTTTGGAAAAACATGACAAATTTGGGTTATTTTACCTCAATCCTACGTTTTCAATGTTTTTTACAAGGCAAGGTTTTCTAGTCCAACCTTTGCAATTGTCCTCTATTTTGAATCAATGTAATGTTAAGCAGCTACTTTAAGACCTAATTTAAGAGCTGATTAGTTAAAGTATTACTAACATTTTATAAAACTAGAGCTTAAATGAGCAGCTGTCACTCAAATTGCCTATGAATTGATAAAGATACGTTTAATTCTAAAATCACTCTTTAGAAGTTTAAATATTACTGGATCTTATTTGTATACAATAATCTAGCATAAGATATAAACCAACAGGTAAGGACTTAAGATTTGGTTATTTGACTTGTATTTTTGCCAGCTGTTGCAGACTTCTTGGTGGCTGTTACAATGTTTTTGGTTTTCTCCTGAAGTTCATGATACTTGATAGTAATGGGAGTGGAACTAGGAGGATTTTCAGTTTTCTCCGATTGAAAGAATGACAGATTTGATAAAGTGATTTATTTAAGTGATTTTATTATGTGCTATGTTTCTGGGATTCATACTGATTTTCGACTAATTTCTAATGCAATATGTATTTCTAATAGTATTCAGAAGATGACTAAACTTCACTATTAAATATGAAGTAAAATTGTATAAATTGAAATTTATGTTTTTGCTGTTGTTTTTTGTCCAGGCACCAGAATTTCCCGAGTTCACAGCTAAAGTTCAGGAAGCAATAATTTCCTTGGGGGGCAGTGTTTTTCCTAAACTCAACTGGAGTGCTCCAAGGGTAAGAATGCTGACTCCCTTGTACCACTCATCTTGTAACAGATGTTGTCATACAGAATTGTTTCTTTGTTTTCTCTCAATGCTTTGGAAAGAAGAAGAGCCTAGTGGTTCAGATGAAGGAAGAAGTGATACACACGGTAGCATTAAAGTGGTGGATTCTTTAATCTAAGTGGAATCCACCACTTCACTGTTATCTTTTCTATCACTAGATGGTGATGGTGCATTTTTAGGGAGGCTGATGCATGGCAGCACTGACTTTGCTATCTAAAACCTATATCCTGGTCACAGATGGTTTTGTGATGGGCAAGTTCTTCTTGTTCTGGATACTAATTGAAAACTTTACCTGGTATAAAGATGAAAAGTGTCACAGTTTCAAAAAAAGGAAATAAACTTTCCTCTAGTTAATTTTAGGTACTCTTAACTATAACATAAGGATGAGTGCATCCAAATATAGTTGTTTTGTGTTCTCAAGGGACGTTTTGTTCAATCATGGCATTCCAAGAAAGTTCCTGGAAGCAGTAAGGCTTAATTTTGCAAATGAATTTGCACTACTTTCATCAGAGTATTCATAAGAAAAACAATAACAATTTTGTCTCTTTTAACCACTAATGAAGTTTTCCTCGAAATAAATAAAAAAACCTTTTCTGCATGTATTTCAAACGTTGCATAATATTTCAATAGACTTGAAGTTTGCAGTCCCTCCTGCTAATAAAGGTGTATTTCAGGTGATCTCTGTATTTCCTTAGGATGCCTACTGGATAGCAATGAACAGCTCTCTGAAATGTAAAGCTCTCAGTGACATCTTCCTCCTCTTCAAGAGTTCAGACTTCATAACTCGTGACCTCACTCAGCCGTGAGTAGATTTCCAGCAGACAATCTTAATTATATGCAGCTAGAAAAAACCAAAAGCAAACCAGAAAGATGTTCAAGTAACACATGCTACCAGTGTGCTTTGGCACTGTGGACTAAGATTATAATTTTTTTTTACTACCTTTCCAGAGCAAGTCATGTTGTATTCTTGAAATTTTTTCCACCCCTCTTGGTGTTTACTTGTTTCTACCCTCCTTATTGATGCCACTTCATATGGTAATAGAGTGTGACTTTACCTTGTTCTTTTTGTATTTCAAAGCTGTTGAGGTTTGTTTGGCTGCCTGGAAGATGCTTGAGATTTATGCTAACATATTTCACGTATTTCTAGAGTTTGTTCTGAACAAGTTCTTGTAGCTCTTGGAACAAATACATTCCAGCTGACTAAGGATAGCAGTTATGGAGACAGTAAAAATATGATGTGCTTGGGGTTGATTTTTATTTTCTCACATGAAGGGAGTACTTAATTGTGTAGGAATAGTTTCCTCCTGTAGTACCTGCATCTCACTAATTTATGTCACTCATTTTTAAAATACAGCATTTTTCTGAAAGAAAATGAGATTATTGGAGTTGATATTTCTGTTACTATCGTTACTTTTTTTTTCCTCAGACAAGCAGAAGTTCAAAGAAAAGGGGCAATCCATGGCTTGGTATTTGAGATTATTTTCCAGTAATTATTCAATGCTTATTTACATTACAGGATTTTTTAGGAGACTCAGTCAAACGTAGAGCCATTGTTCTAGGTGCCTTGCAGGGGGTTAACAGGTAGAAGTTTCATGTCAAGTGGCTTATGTCTTGATAAAAATTTTCTTTCTGAAGTGTGAAACCAGTTACATTAATGCTGTGCAACTACCTTCTTTTTTATTCCTGCAACTCTAATGAGACTCTCTTCCCTCAGTTTTTGGTACATGGAAAAAAAAAAAAAAAGGGCTGTTGGCAGGAAGGCTGTAAGTGTAATTCTGATGTTGGGTTTTACATCATGTCTAACCTGCAATGCAGGAGATGCTGGGGAAGAGACTCAGGAAGAGGGGAGAAGATACTGGAGTGATAAAACAGTTTGGAAAGTATGTTGGGCTTGGGAAACAATTGTGAAGAATGAGAATTCGTGATTCTGGGGTCACAGAGGATGAAAGGAAGGGTAAGACCAACCTTTGTTCTCTATTGGATGAGGGAGGGAACTTAGTAACTGCAGATGAGGAGAAGGCAGAAGTGCTTAACGCCTTCTTTGCCACAGTGTTTAATGGGAAGACAGCTTGTCCTTAGAACAGCTGCCCTCCTGGGTTTGTAGATGGTGTCAGGGAGCAGAATTGTCCCCCTGGTATCCAGGAGGAGGCAGTCAGAGAATTGCTGAGCTGCTTGGATGTTCATAAATCTATGGGACCAGATGGGATCCATCCCAGGGTGATGAGGGAGCTGGCAGATGAGCTTGCAAAGCCACTCTCCATCATTTACCAGCAGTCCTGGGACACTGGCAAGGTTCCAAATGACTGGAAGCTGGCTAATGTGACTCCCATTCACAAGAAGGGTAGGAGGGAGGATCCTGGTAATTATAGACCAATCAGCCTGACCTCAGTACCTGGTCAGGTATTGGAACAGTTTATACCGAGTGCCATCACACAGCACTCACAGGATGGCCAGGCTATCAGACCCAGCCAGCATGGGTTTAGGAGGGGTAGGTCGTGTTTGACCAACCTGATCTCCTTTTATGACCAAGTGACCCACCTGGTGGATGCAGGAAAGGCTGTGGATGTTGTCTATTTGGACTTCAGCAAGGCCTTTGACACTGTCTCCCACAGCATTCCCTGTAAAAGCTGCAGCCCATGGCTTGGACAGGAGCACTCTTTGCTGGGTTAAGAACTGGCTGGATGGCCAGGGAGTGGTGGTGAACAGTGCTGCATCCAGCTGGGGATCAGTCACCAGTGGTGTCCCTCAGGGGTCTGTGCTGAGGCCAGTTCTGTTCAATGTTTTTATTGATGACATGGATGAGGGGATTGAGTCTTTCATTAGTAAATTTTCAGATGACACTAAGCTGGGAGTGTGTGTTGATCTGTTGGAAGGTAGGAGGGCTCTGCAGAGGGACTTGGAATGGTTGGATGGATGAGCAGAGTCCATTGGGTTGAGGTTTAATAAATCCAAGTGCCAAGTCCTGCGTTTTGGCCACAATAACCCTCTGCAGCATTACAGCTGGGGACAGTGTGGCTGGACAGTGCCCAGGCAG